TTCAGTCTTGCTTGCTACAATTCATCCCGCCTACCTACAACAGAAACATCTTGCGGAATACGGACCAAATGCGGGAAGTGCAGTTGCCGCAAACGCCAATTTTTGCCTCTCAAAAAATTTTGCTTTGATAAGTCGTAAAAGAAGGGGATTCAAGTTTGCTCCAAAAACGAACAACAATTCTTGTAGAGCACTTTTTCTTTTCAATGGTATAGGTACTTTGACGTAAACCAACCGCTTCATCGAAAAACGGCGACAAAAATAAAAAGTCGACGAACTTATGAAACGACCATATATTCGATAGTCTAATCCTCGTAGTTTTCACGAAAGTGATAAAAGCTGATTGATCTTCTTTAGTCTGAGGTAGAAGGCGAAAAATGTGACAAACTAATTGGCTGGCTTTTGATTCCATTGTTTGGGGGTTATTAAAAGTTGGATTCTTAATGTGAGCAAAGAAATAGTAGTATTTTGCACTAGGTGCAAAAAGAAGCAGTCGACTCAGCTTTGAAACAAATTTAACTTGTTTAAAAATGAAACTTCATTTGGATGGCTTAATATTAAGAAACGTCAGAAATTGCTTAAACGTCGCCCACATGGGATTTGACATAATAATTACGACAATGATGCTCTTATGCTATTAAAGTTCTTTAATGATGCTTACTGTAGATTGGCGACCGTTAACCGTTGGCCAAAACCCCAACGCTAGCATTTTGCATAATGGGCCTATATTGATGGGTATCATGTCGCCAAAATCACTATCACTTCAATAACGAGCCCCCTACCTGACCCCTCGATACGACCCCTTAGGTTTGGCGTGCCACGCCGCATGTTTGACCTTGTATAAGTATACCATCCGGATCGCAAGTGGGATCCCATGAGCTGAGGTGGCGCGCACGCGACGCAGGCAGCGAAAATGGTACGCGAGCGCGAAAGTGTATGTCGCTTAGATCTGTGGCAAGCTCACTCATCGCTCTTTTCAACCGCTTCGTTTACGCGTCTTAAACCTCATTTTCAAGTTAGTTTTGTTTGCGGATTATAGCATACTTCCTATTCTTAGAGGTGACGGAGTTTTGTTTGCGGATTATAGTGTACTTCCTATTCTTAGAGGTGACGGCTCAGCACCCTTGCAACTCCTCTTTTCCCTATCGCTAACGTAACAATATTTGGTCTGTGTATCCGCTACTCGTGTGACATTATCATCGTATTCTCTCTGACATTAGATAAAAAGAGGGAGGAGCGAATTGCAAACATCTTTGAAAGCCAGAAATTGAAAATGTGCATTCTGGATAAGATGAGTTGCTAAAACCTAAGCAGCCCTCAGATAATACAACGTAGAGTTTTTAGATTGTGTGCCCTGCCGATTATCACAGCTCCATCGAAAAGCTAGAAAAAAAAAACGTTACTGCTCTTTTTTCCCTAATTGCATATTCATTTTTTGATCAGATAAGCGCTCATGACTCCTCGTCCATAATTGTTCTACAGATAAGGAAGACAGATTTGGAATCAACATTTTATGCCCTTCTGTATGGTATACATCCCATCTAAAAAGGCCACTTCGATCGAACATGCATTCCTTGTAAGTTCCCCCAGGAACAATTCTCAATCATGTAGATCTTGAGGATTATACGCACGAGCTCCTAATTAGCCCAGAGATGATTCAGAAGTCGGTGCAGGAGCGTAACTCAAAAGTGAGAGTCAAAATGAAGAATAGTAATTACAAAAGATTTAATGTTTAGCGAAAAGAGTGCTCAAGGGTAGGTGGCAGAGTATTTGTCAAGCTGTCGCGAGAAAAAGGTGTTTCGAAATACCCTGAATTCTGTAATGAATGAAGTGGTCCCTCTAGAGTGTTAGAAGTCAGTGAAAACTCGCACTTTTCTCGCGGTTAAACAGTAATGAGGAGCCTATCAAAGTCCAATATGACATATAAAGGTAGCGAGAGAAATAGACGATAAACAAATTTAAACAGAAACAAAAAGATGAAGTAGAAAAAAGCTAGGCCTGCAAACAATAAGAGAGTAATGTTATTCTTTGCAAGGCAAATCGTCAGATTTCTCGGATAACTCCGCATTGAGTCTTTCCCACACATGCCCAAGAAGAACCTTCGACGAGGACGAGTTCGACTGCGGCATAAGAGAGAAGACCTTTGGCGACGTGGTCTTTATTGTAGATCCAGTGATTGGGTAAAGGAACGAACACCTCACTTAGGCACCGCCTCCGCGGCTATTGGTCCCAACACGACGTACGCCGCGCAGTCTGGCCCAACCCTGAGGTGTTCGTTCCTCTACCCCAGTGATTTGATTTCGACATTGCCAGTCACAAGCATCTTTTCATTGGCGCCTGCTATAATATCAATCTTCGAACAGGAACGAGATTCCGACAAAAGGAATTTTTTGATGAGAGACAAGACCATGTTTTTATGGCAACTTCGGGATGCCAGAAGGTTTACGTTTACTTCAAACGTCACTGACTATAGACGATGAGGAATCTGATGCGCCATGATGGCAGTAATTTATTAATGCGACACGATGGTAACTCGGGGTGAACGATTGGCCAGATGAACTTTTTGATGAGCGAAAGCGAAAGATTTGCGATGAAAAATTCGTGGACAGATGTCAGAGTCGAGAAGAAGAAGGAAAAGGCTAAATTCTCGTCTCCCAGGATTGACATCGTTTAAGTACGCAGTACAGTTTGGAGAAAACACTACGCGATTCATCTGTAAGAAACTATCGCATATCTGCAAGAAGTTGCGGGGATTTCAAGAGCCACACAGCACGGCCCTCATCACGCAGCACGAGGAGGCTCGAAAATCGTCGCTTTTCACAACCCACGAGATGAGCTGACTGGGAAGCGGCGAATGAAAATGATTGACTTGATGTGCACAGTGAGAGAAGCCGCGCACGTCACTAGCGCGAACGTCGTAATGAAAATACTGCAAGCCCCTTCTGTGACCGAAGAACTTGCGGTAGGAATACGGGCGAAGAAAAACGAATGGACGGGATATTCGCCTACGGTGGTTTGGGGTTTCCTGAGCACGCTTGTTGATTACGTTGGTTTGAAGGATGAGCTTTCCTGAGAGCCGCTCAGGCAAGTGCATGAGCCGAAGAAAAACAAACATCGTGGAGCGGATCATCACCGGTATGGGAATCGTTTACATGATGGATATGGATCGATTTCATGATCGAAGTTCAAATGGACAGGATGGACATGCACCACACCGAGAACCAGGCAAAGAAGCACTACGAGGACGTGAGTCAGGACGTGGTCACATGTATCGACATCCAGTATCGACATGGGATCTGGACACGGACGAGGAAGAGATCAGGGATAATATTATAGGCCCTACAAAGTGTCGGGACGACACTATGCCCAGGGGGGACATGTAACTAACTAGGGTTTATTTAGGTTAGGTTTAGGTTAGATTAGATTATGATAGGTTTTTGTAGTCTAGTTTAGCAATTTTTCCTTGAGTGTATGAGACTATAAGCGTAGTCGCGAGGCATACGTTGCACCATATCTCAGGTTACGGTCTTAGATTGTTGATTTGTTCGATTATAATCTAATCTTTTTTCAACCCTTCATTCTCTCTTGTTATTGTTCCCATTTTGCATTTTTGTTGTAATCATTATCTCCGGTTTGTCATATTTTTGATAAAGCACTTTTATTTTTAACTGTTGTGCTGGAGTGGAACCTGCGGATTCATCTGCCCATTACTAAGGTGGCCCAGGCGACAATGTCGTTCATTGCCGGCGGACCACAACATATCGTGCAGTAGTACCTGTTAGAAGATGGGGATGGAAGCAGAAATGCACAGACACCAGAGGCCTTGAATTATGACCCGTAGACTTTTTCACCGCTTTCCGGACTATTTCTAATTTCTAATTTCAGGTATCATAGATTAAGAGACTTCGCGGCAGCAAACTGTTTAAACTTTGCAGCAAGTGTGGCTACACTCGACGAAAAAACTGAGGGCTGGTAGAGAATTACTGGACAAATCGCTCACAATGAAGAATGACTGAACTTCCTTATGCGTTAAAGCCCTTCTCCACCGTTTGACACTGCCTTTGATTTTTGCTTGGACACTCATTCAATGAGACTGTGTGCCTGGATGTGTAATGTCGTCGTTTTTGCTCAAAGACAAATATTTAGTTCACTCTTCTCCATCCGAGCTTGGCGCAGGCCATAATTATCAACTTCCCACCTACGGAACCAAAGACAAAGTCAAGCCGCAGTTTTGAAAAAAGATTTGGAAAAATTGATGGTTTTGGACAAGCGATAAGTATGGTGTGCACCCATGTTAAATAAATCATGCGATCAAACCCCTGCCACTTGCTTATGCAATAAATACAATCTTTATCAGCTAGAATCATGTGACTCTACATCAAAAACGAAATGGTCACAAGCAAAATAACCAAGACTCAAGCAGCACTTAATCGAGACAATGCCAGAAAAATGTGTGAACAAAGCCATATTGCACCTTGGAGTACATACAAGAAAGATACTGCTGTACAAAGGACAAAAAGAAAATCAAGAAGAAAATCTGTGATGGGGAAGGAGAGTCACAAAGTACATCATACATAATTCGTTGAGCGGACACAATTGCTACGAGTTAGAAGCTAAGGAAAACTTAGTTTGCTTTGAAGTAATCTTCTAGAGAATTGTGAAGAAAAATACTAATAAAGAAATGATCTTTACTCAAGGCTATTTCCAACATTATGTACGCGATTATGACTGTCCAGAAAATATCTGAACTGTCTCTATCTGCTAAATGGAGCGCTCGTTTGCAAGATAATGTGACTAAGCGAGCGAATGTCTTAAAATGGTCTTAACGACAAAGCTAGATTTTGATATTATGGTCTATGAAAATGGATAGCCGAAAACACATTTGGTATTGCGCATGAAGAAGGACGATAAGTTTTTAGTCAAAGATCTTATCTGTCAACGAGTCCAGAGTGCCATTCTTTAGTGACAATTTCTTGATGTGACAGATCCAAGACTCAGTTAGCAACAAAAATATGAATGGAGGCCAGGCAGAAGAATTGAATGCACATATTGTCTAACAAAACGAAAGTCTCCTTAATTTGAGCGCACAAATTTTGGTCTTATTTTATATGAAAATGCATTTTTCGTTGAAAGGAGGGCTAGTAAGTTTATCCAGTCAATAGTGTACGCCGTGGCCAAGAATGAATAGAATCAACTCGAATTCTTTGAGCTAACATTAGTTGGAAACAGAGTCTTTGAGTAAAATTCATTCATACAGAAACTAGCATTCTTATTTCACAAGTCGATTCTCCCGTGCAAAGAAGACCCTGAAAAATCATCTTAAACTTGAACCTTGAGGAAACACTATCAAACAGTTTTATGCAACAATTCACAAATATTTTATTGATTTTGTTAAAATATTTTTTAGACATTTTTATAAACCTGTAAAGTCCAGCGGCCATGAGTGCTCCAATGATCGGTCCAGCATAGTAAATCCAATGCTGTGACCAGAATCTTTCTATCAGTTGGTCTGATATGAATATGGATGCAACGACATTTGGGCCGAATGAACGCGCAGGATTCATCGAAGCGCCGGAAATTGATCCTCTTAAAACTTTTGATTAATGTGAAAGTAGCTTAAACTGAAGTTTAAACTTTGATTTAATTCTGGCTTGGCGGCTGGAAGGCGGAGCTTTGTGACCTAATCAAGGCCGCTCGCGTCCGCGACGTAATCTGCGTCTCTCTCACGGGCGTGCTCTCTGATCATTATCTAGCCTCACTTAGGTCACGAAGCCCCGCCTTGCAGCCGCCAAGCCAGTTGTATTAAAGAGTACACTTACACTGCTATTATATCGAATAATACAGTGAATCCGATCACTATTGGTGCAATTACACTCTTTTCGTCCGCGGCAGAGAGTAGAACAGCCAAAACCAAAAATGAGGTGGTGAATATCTCGGCTATCAAACCCTTAACCATTCTCCTTTGAGCAGTTGCTTTTATTTCATATTTCTCTACCTGGTACCATGCTACACCGACTCCGCAAAGTGTTGCACCCCCCTGTATCGTTACATACTGGTTGAAATTCAAAATCGCCTGCATAAAAGCGTGAAAAACGCAAAGAAGAGTTTAGAAAATTATAAACCTTACTCGGACTATGAAAGAGCCAAGTAGACCACCAAGCAATTGTGCTACGACGTAAAAAATAGCTTCAATCGGTGGCATTTTTCCAGCAACAGCCACTCCGAGTGTCACAGCCGGATTGACATGACCACCGCTGAATAGCAAGGTAATAGATGGATTCCCAAAGCTATTAGAATTACCTTATATGAGCAAAGATTGCTACAAGCACAACTATTGCAATACCATGGCAAAAGGCAGCATGTAGAACCCCATCATATGTCGTCACTGCTTGCAGTGATCCTAAAAGCTTTGATAATCAAAAAAGAAGCAGTTGATATATGAAATAATCTGCAGAAAAAATGACAGTTGGTTCTAAAATTATGAAATAAGATTACCATTCTGAGCTTTGAAGGATATAGTAAAAGTATGTACACACTTGTGATCGTTGACAGACTTTCGCATCAAAGTATTTCGCAACCCCTTGGGTAACAGGTTGATGCAAAAGTTCTGTCGCATTATTTTTAGAAAATCATAGTTTCTTGCTCTCTGGATTTGCATTAACTTAACACAGGATTTGCATTAACTTAACGTTGACGACAGTGCCGCGCAATGGTGCGCGGCAGACAGTCTGTCCCTGTGGACGACGCCGCGCAATGGTGCGCGGCGGCCTTAAATTCAATACTATATGTCCAATCCTCTCAGTTTTTGTTCATATAATCAAGATACGCTCAGATGTACTTTATGTATTAGCCCCGCCCCTTTTGGCAAACTCCGCCCACTTTTATGCCTCTTACAAGGATTTTTTTGTCCACAAAAAGCATGGATGAGGCTGTGGATGAACGCAAAGACTTCAAGCAACTTCTAGCCAGGCCCCGCCCACCGTCAGGCAAGCTCCGCCCCCTGAGTCGCAAGCTCCGCCCACTTTTCAAAAGTGGCGGAGATCGCATAAATTCTTGAAATTTGGGCAATTTCCGACATTTTTGGCCGAGTGGGCGGAGCTTGCCAGAGGGGGCGGGGCTTGTACATTTTGTACTTCTTGCATGGATGCATGCATACATACATGGGCCACGCGTAGGGATGCATGGAAACGTCTCGTCCACAGGGACAGACCGCAAAAAATGGCTCGTCGTCAACGTGTTAATTTTGCAGAATAGAGGAAACCCTTTTTTTGTGTGCCTTTGGTTGCTCTCCAATAGGGAGCAACTTTTGAGAAGGAAGCAAAACAATAAAATTACTTCAACTTCAGAGTTTTGATTTTCGAATCAAAATATTTAAAAAAAATCAAATTTGTTGTTTTGTATTCCTATCCAAAAATCATAACTCTTCACAGAGTTCTTCTTTCAACACAAACCTTGCACTGCTGGAAACCGTGGATCAAAAGACTTGCTATACTGCTTGCTCGAGATTTTATCGCAAGTTTCAGGTTTTCAGGTTTTAACTACTCAATTCAAAATGACCGAAGTTGAAGTAATTTTATTCTCCTGCTTCATCTCGTAAGCCACCCCTTCTTAGACAGGCGCAAAGGCTCTCTCACAAAGACAAGTGTTTCCTCCATCTAGCAAAACTAAGAGCTTGTGCAAATCGTTGAGAGAGCAAGATGTTAAGATTTTCAAAAATGATGCGACAAAACTTATACATCAACCTAATTTTCATTCTGTAAAGCTGGCTTCAGTTCAAAGGCGGCTTCCTTGTAAGTGGATCACTTCTGAATTTCTCTCTTCATTGCCTTACAGTAGTCGAGCTAAACAAGAATACGAGCTCCAAACCGCTTGATGATCGAACACGAAGTTTTTGCGCCCTTTTCAAGAAGCACAGACGGAACTGAGGAACTTTCCAGTGGACTTTTGTGTCAGATCATGTCGCGATGGGTTAAGTGAGGGCCTATTACCGTACTTCGTGGAAACTCCATCTTTCTCACTTTTTCCAGACGCCTCCTTTCAATTTTTAGTACGAAGAGAACAACCATTGCATTTTGGTGCTGTGATTCTGTAGGCATTTATAGGCGGTTTTTAACAGATAAAAATTACTTTTCCTCTCTAGAAATTTATTAAAAATTCTGGAAATTGCTGTCGCTCAGCCACACTTTTGCGGCCTTATGCGCATAAGTGACAGTAGCAGCTCGCATATAATCTATTCACTAACCTATTGAAACCTATTCAAATCTGTTCACCTATTTTCAGATTTTCCAAAGATTGCCGACTGAACCAGTACAATGAAGTCAATGTATCCGGAGTTCCTACAGCTCTATAGTAAGTGCCTTAATTTTTTGACAGAACAAATTTTACAAATCGTGTATCTTTGCGTTTTCTTCAGTTTCAAAGCTACAGTGTGATTTGTATATTAACTGGAGCATACTCGAGAGTTCTGTTTATTCGTCCCATCTGTGGCGACAACTGTACTAAAGTAATCCAGATGCTTTGAGAAGGGAAATACACTCAGACGTAGTGGATTATTTTAAAAATCACAACATTTCACTACTTAAAAGACTGAAGCAAATCTTACCAACAAGTACAAAAGCCATTAGAGCAAAAAACTCCGCAGCACATTTTGACACGATCGAGTACGGCGCTCCTTCGGATGGCATGCTTGAGGATACTCCGCTTGCGCCGGATTTTGTAGGAGTCTAAAGTTTATAAAATGAGTTCTTAGGTGTACATAGTGAATGTTATTATTAGGAACATCTACAAATTTATATGTTTTTTTGATATTGTAGGCGGGAATAATGTTTTTTGATATTGTAGGCGGGAATAATGGCTGGATCTCTATACATCAATGCAATCTTTTCACGAAAATATCACTACATTTCCTATCGTGGATCTCCAAAATTTGCCAAACCTAGCGCATTTTGAAGATACCTTTTTTTTAGAGATAATTACTATCTAAACGTCAAATTTTTCTGGTGGAATATGCAAATGGTAACCCGCAATTCAGAGTTGTAAAATCAGCAGATAGAAACGAGAAGAGCGAAGCTATTCTGTAAGAAGACAAGAAATTGGCAAAACACAATTGATTTTAGCTTGAAGATTGTACGAATTTTTTGAAAACCATGGATTATGTTTGATTAAAATTCTCCGTCCATGTTTGCTAGAAATGATTTGCCTTACCACAACCTGGGGACAATGCTTAGCAGAAGAGATGCATGTTTCTGCTTTTATGCAGCTTGACCCTCCCCCTCCAGTGTCAAAATGTTTCCATATTTTTGGAACCGAAATACATAGCATTAGTTAAGCTGTACTTATACATACAAGATATAGGATTTGACTCATTTTTATTTATTAAGCTGGAGCAGAAAAATTGCACTATCGCACTACTCCCGGAGAGTTTTTTGTTAGAGAAGATGTAGTCTATACAGGAACTCTAAAACGCTTTTTATCACCTTTTTATCATATTGCATATATAAAAACAGTAGAAGAGATCTACTTAGTATCCCTTGTGTTTGGCAGTAGAATATTGAATTTGCGATAAAAATCGGGGCATTTGTTGCTGTGGTATCGGGGCATTGCTCATTAGGAAAGCAAGCATTTTCTTGCTTTTCTAATGAGCAAAATCTCTGCGGCATGAACTATTCTATGAAATGTTATGAATTTGAAAATGCCGAGAAAGTCATGAGCTGTTTTGTATTGCTGACCAAATCATAGCTTTCGGAAGACATATTGATTAAGCACGAATTTCCTAAGAATAAGGAGGAGTTAACAAGACTTGTGGAAACCAATGCTAGATTGTTGCACCTTCCTTTTTCACGCCAAATACGAAAAAAATCAGAATTTGAGCTACTTCCTTGTACCTCCTTCTCTATGTCATGTGTGCATAATAAAAACCCGCTTAGATTCCCTTATGAACAGCATGACCTTCACTGACGAAAAAAGTTCAAAGCATTGGAATTCGACCAGCATAAAATTAGGAAAATTTCAAGAAGTGCGCGAAACAAAAAAGTGAAGCGTCTGTCTTAGGTAAAGATATAGAAATGACTCCCATTTCTCTTATTTCGAAACTCATTTTACTCCATCTGAAAACAAAAGTATGTGTACATTTAGTAGTGCATTGCCCCATTCATCACATTTGAACACGTGATCGCATTGACCCGAATACCAGTAAAGTCTTGACACATTGTCTTTGTTTTGAAGGGAGTGTCAGTAATCCGACACGGAGGTGCCGGACCCTTTGTGTCGATAACCTGTTTTTGTTATGCTTACTAGGTAGTGGTACTAGTACTAGTACTAGTAGCGCTCTCACTGATATTTTCTAAGATCAAATTCACTCCACTAAAATAACACTACTGTAGGATGAATTCTTGAAAAAAATTACATTTGCCATGTGAACGGACTGCGTAAGATGCTTACCGTAATTTTCTCTGATTTCAAATCACCTGCATATGGTATACAGAAAATTGAGAAATATTATCGATGTTGAGTTTAAATCTCGCATTTCTTCTCCCACTTTCCTTGACTATTGTAACCCACACAGAGTTGATTACAAGCTGCTCTTTGGAAAATTATCAGAGGAAACCGAAGAAGTTTAGTTAATAAGAATAGATTTCCTAATAGCGCAGGTAACATTCCACGCTGTAAAAACAACACCTCACTGAAGAGCCAAGATGGCGAATGGGTAGTTGAGACTGACAATTAGATCCACGAATTACAAAGTCCAATGCCAAAAGCATAAGTGTCCTATTCAGAGTGGCCACAACTGTTTATAGAGCACCGTTATTGTTTAGACGAATTGACCCGGTCAAAAAAGAACAGAGTTCAAACCTCGAAGTTTTTTGCAACACTACCGAGAGTAGCTTATTACTTTTCTAAGCAAACTCCAAATCAGTGATGTAGCTTACAAATTTTGGAAAAAAAATGCTTAGTTGAAAACCCTTTAATGTAATATTTTTGATCAAAAATTGTCGTTGAGGAAACGAATGTTGAACGAGCTTCTGACAGTCTGAAAGTGTAAATTGTGATAGCTGAAACTCCCCCGCTTGAGAAAAGAGGAAACCGCAGGCGGTTAAGATTTTTCTGATAAACTCAGAAAATGGTTAAATAAAGTTTGATTAAAAATGAGCGAGTAAACATGGGAACGGTAGTCTACCGCTAAGAAGTTATAAGTGGGTACTACAAAATAAAAATCGCTAAACCGTTTGAAGCAGTAAAATGGTTTGAAATGGAAAGTGAATGGGATGTGGAGGCTTATGCTTGATCAGCTTTGCTTTTATGGCTTTACCTTTGTATTTGTGTACCATAAATGTTTACATAAAAGTGCTCTCGTAGAAACTGAATGTGATCACGTAAAAGCAAAACATCAAAAGCGATATGTAAAAGAAAGAAGACTATCAAAAACATTTTCTCAGCCCGCACACTCTAAGTCGACTGACGTCGTGAAGTCTTCCGGCCATAAATTGCTATGCATGTATGGAAGTCAGACCAAAGAATAAATAATACTCTCACATAAAAATTTTACGTCCTGAACAAGTGGTTTTTATAATCATCGTGATTTAAGTACACGTACTTTGCGTGAGTCATTGCTACAAAATTTTTGGAGACTTTTTTTAACCTAATATTGTTTGCTTTTCTGATACAAGGCCTTTCCAAATTGCGAGGTTGTAAAACGTGCAAACTTTTGCAAGACCTTCCCCATTTTGCTTTGTATGAAATTATCACAGCTTGCTTTGCCAAAGATATTCGACTTCAACGCAGCGATTAATCAGCTTCTAATGAAAGTTACATCTTGCACATATTGACACAGATGTTAATAATGGTTAAACCGCTCCCAGAGTTGTCATGCCTGCTAGCAGCCAATACCCGTGGGTACCGGCACGCCGCTAGCACGGCGTCGGAACGGTACTAGCACAGTGCCGGCACGCGGACAACTCTGCAACTTCAAAGAGCTGTACATGTCTGGTTGGCGTGGAGCGAGTAAGTATACAGGGTATCCCAAAAGTAAGTACACTCTTCAATCGTCAATATCTTTCTTCACATTGTCTCTTTTTCCGCCATTTAAGCACCATTCTGTAGAGGAGGCTTTAACTTAGATTCATTAGATTCACAGTATCGAGCGAATCATCGATCGCTTTTCGTTACTGTAGGACTACGGTGGGAACTTCGACAAGGATTTTTAGGCTATTGGAGGCCATGTCTGCCTCCAAACAAAACCAAACCAGCCGTAAACTCTTATACTATGGTAATCGAAGCCGACGATTTCGATTATGAAACTTCTAGTTTACTGTGGTGCTTCTTTCCCAAGTTATCCCAGGTAAACCGTAATAGCCGAATCCCCAATTTTGTCAGGAACGTGATTACACCGTCAAAAAAGCTGAAAACACTCGTAAAGAGTTGTGTATTGGAATCAGCGTGTGCGAAAACTCCAATAGACGATTTTTCATACTTTTTGAAAAAATTTCGTCAGATGGCATTTTTCACACTGGTTCCACATGCTGGAAGTTCTTACGTAATCCTACAGTAACGAAGAGCGATCGGTGATTCGTTCAATACTGTAAATCTAAGTTGAAGCCTCCTCTACAGAATGGCACTTGATTCACAAAAAAGACCCATTGGAGAGATACTCACGATTGAAAAGTGTGTACTTACTTTTGGGACACCCTGTATTTGAGCAGAAGTTACTGCTTGTCACGCTAAAGACTGCATCAGAGAATGATATAGCAGAGTCAAATGATTTAACTCAATATTCTTGCCTGCCCTAATAGAAAATTGTTATTGTCTGATAGGAAAAGCTGCGAGACATTGCCAAGGCTGTATGCAAAGATTTTTCTGGACAAATTTTTTCATACTATTCTCCCCGAAGCCATTATTTGCATCTTTCAGAAGACATTTGTTGTCCCTTTCCCAGGATTTTTTTGCTGAAAAATTGAGACCCATCAATTTGTTGTAAATGCGAGAATAACACTGAATGTACGATGTTATTTATCTCATACATGTTTTCATAGTGATTCACTGCCAAAACCATTCAACCATTCAAGCTAGACCACCTATACGGCAGCAATCGCGTTCTGTTACTAGAAAAGAGAAGGGAGAGGGAAATAATATACTACATTAGTAGTTTCAACCTGATTTTCTCCAGTTCTTGGAAGAAAAGTGTCTTGTCGTGACCCACCACCCCCTTCCTTCGTATTCTATATGCGATGAATAAGCAGCAAAAGTTAGGAAGATCCTGTGTGCCTGCGGAGCGCTCAAAGTAGTGTAGAATACATGATTTACATTAAGAATACGTGTATGAAATATCCTGACTACTTGTAATATAACGGAGATAGCATCGTCTTGAACAATAATGTGTAGAATAAGTTGCTTTATTTAACGGGCTCTTTGTACTTATAATAAAAAAGGTGATTTTCTAAGAAAACAGGCGGTTTGAGCGTATTCTACACCAAAAACGACAAAACTGAGGTTTGTAATAAGTTTGGTTCTCTTAAGAAAGTGTCTTGTCGAAACTGATTCAATGGTTCAATACTCAGGGACTCGCACCGTGCGGGCGGCCAGCGACGAACTTACAATCGCTCGTTGGTGTGTGCGATTGTACGGTCGTCAAGGGCCGTTAGCATGGTTAACGTGGGGCGCCCGCGCGGTTTCTAATGCTCGCCGCTTGCGCGGGGAAGGTCGGCCGCTCGCTTGCTGCTGGAGTAGG